ACTGAACTGTGTCACTTGAAACTATGTATCCCTGGAAAGTAGACCAATCAATGGACTATCCTAGTAGTCAGACGTTATAAATATTTCACTAACTAGACGAATTTCATCTTCTGTCTTTGTACACTTTCGACCCTCCTAACCACTGCATATCAACAGAAGCAAAATAACTTTTTATAACATTTTTATTACACGTTATCGCTTATCACGTTACAGCGGCGGCGCTAAGCTGAGTGACCTTATTAGAAACAGGAGTAACGAACGATTTTCGTGATTCATGCTTTCCTCGGCACGTGATCCATTTAAGCGGGCGTGATTTTGAGGGATCAACGCGCGGAAACCCCGTCTGCGTCCTCGCAACAGTTTCGCTTGTCTGTAATTACGTGGCCGGTTTGATGAGCCCGGAGATGGTTTCGCACGATTCTTCCGAACGTTTTCATTAAAACGTCTGCGCGCAGCCGGAGCGCAGCGTAACGGCGGCGTTTCGCGAAACGGACGTGATTTATCGCGCCGCACGGAAATCGCCGTTCCTATTAGCGAGACCGGTTAATTAGTAATAATAGACGTTCGATGCCCCTACATGTTTTCAAATTGCAACGAAATTTGCATTTGTCGAACAGCTTGATTGTCCATCGCATCGACAGGCTCGGATCTGACGACCGAGTAGTCAGAGTCCAAAATAATCCTGGCATTCATTGCAGTCACTCTGTTTCTCCTAGACGGTAGGCGTTCTTCGATATTACAATCTATTGCATCTGGATGCCTTAATCGTTAGTAAAAAAGTCTAATGCCAGACATGATTTATTAGAAAAATTTTCTCATAACGTAGTCGTGAAAACGCAAGTTAAAAAGTGGGAAAATAGTACAAGTTGACAACTAGTCACGATTTGCAACTGCGAACGTGCTTGGACGTGTGTTACAGTGTCAGAAGTGAATGCGTCGCATTATAAGGCAGCAGCGTCAACGAAGACGAGCCAGTTAATTGATTTGTCTACGATCAGGCTCGCGGAATTCGATTTATCAATTTACGACGAGCGTTGCATAATTTTATGCCAGTCAATTATGGTAATAACCATTTTTAACTCATTTCCTATGCAGCTACTTGTGATCGTGGCGTTAGCCCGCATAAATGAATCATTACCGCGGTTGTTAAATCTCGTCGATACGTTAAGAAGCTGCAAGTAATTATAATCACTGATAGGAAATAATAGTGTCCTGTCTTTTGTGTGGAATTTTCCAATTCTCTTAAACTCTACGTTGTGCACAGCTCTAATTTATTCCTACTTTCAATTTGAAAATTATGAAGTATGATACATACATACGTACATGTATACATATTTGCATATGTATGTGATCTTGATCTTATCATCGGATACACGTGTAAACGGATAGGAGAGGAGGGACCTTTTTAACCGATCATTAAACTGCATCGAATTCAAAATGTCATCGAACGTTTGCTCGAGGCTAGTTGAAACCGGCGATTTCATGGATGAACACCGGCCTTAAAAGTTGAGATTATTGAAAACGACGTTTACGTTATCGTGGGAACGGCTATCAGGCGAACGAACAGTTATTCATAGCTCGCGGAGAGCTGTAATCGGTTATCGATGATGGTTATTAATATCTTGGTTGGATAACTCGAATTGCCCGATCGTCGATATTGGCACGGTATGCAGTGTGATTTAGAAACCGCCGTGCCCTAAGATTGGTACAGGTACCGTTCAAAGAAATGATCGATCGCGTAAGTAAAACAATACAAGAATTTTGATAATCGACGTTCCTCTCGGTTGAGGAACAATACAACAGAGAATAACGGCAGTTATGTATAAACGCCCATAGCCCTCCTCATCTCTTAAAAAGGTAATTTCACAAACATTAATCTTATTTTTAATGTCCTTAAAAGGATGCACCTTAATATTTGTATTCAGACACGTTGTTTGCGGAGATCGAGAGATAGTTTCTTTATATGGAAAATGTTTTTTTGGGTGTGGAAATTCATAGTTAAGTAGAAATTTCATAAGGGGAAGACAATAAGTATAATTTTTGTAAAGTTGTTAGACAGGCGAGTTGGAGATTAGATTGCATAGTCTGTTTTGGCGAAGAATTAGGCAGCGTGAGAGTCAGAAAAAGTAATTAAAGATATAAAAATATGATTAGTACGATGTCAGTATAAGTCATCAAGAATGATATGAATGGGAATAAGAAAGTACTAAAAGTAAGTACTGAGTACTACTTGAATACTTCACCAAGCTGTTGAGAACACACGTTTCGTCAGCTGGTATCCTCTGAGTGAACGATCAGATCGGGGCCAGATAAGAAGCAACCAGATCGATATTGTAACGATCAGCGATCCTACGCGATAACATCGCGATTTAACGTAATAATTAATAACAACAATGACTCCGCGAATTCGGTCGTTCGTTGCGACTCGAACAATGAATGTAGAACATCGGATACATAACGCCAGTGAATTATACTCGCTTCGAGTACGGAGTAACCGTTTGTCTCGTATCTCTGTTATCTCGCCACTGGAGCGATGAATATCAGTAGCTGGTGACGAAAGATCAATGGTTTGAATGGCACGAACGCTGGGCCAATAGATTTCAATGATATCCATCTATTTTTAACACTTCTTCAAATGCATCATTCAAACAACACCGTGAACACATTCATACCAGTCAGTTTCAAGAATTCATTCATTTCGCAAAATAGATTTCCAGTAATCGCGAGATCTGAACTTATAAAACAAGATTCTTTAATTAGAATGAGAATGAGCTAAGCCGATTTTTCTTAATAGACTCACGTTAAAGTCAGAACGGAAGGCGATTTTCCCACGATCAACTTATGACTTCTCAACCAAATAATTCTAAACCTCGTAGACATTTATAGGGGTATAATATTAACACTCACATATATAACATCTAAAATTCGCACGAATTTCAATTAAGTTCACGTTTAATTATATAGCATTTTAAACTCGTACGTATTTCAATTAAGCCCGCGTTTAATTAAACTTTCTCAAAATCGAATGTATCGTACGAGATCGTGAACGTGAGGAGGTGATGAAAATGAATGGACCGAGGCGATGGCAGCGAAAGAACCGGCTTTGTGGCAGTATCAGAACCAGAAACGAAGTTATTAATCGTCTCTTCGAGCAATATATTATATTCGCGAATTTCCATTTCTCATTATTCTCAACACGCGTCGCGTCGCCGGCCATCTGTCCACGTTCAAACAGCGAAATCATTCGCGAATCGAATCGAGCATAGCCTAACATTTTCGCACAGTTGCCCTGCAGATGAAATTGACAGTTTCGTACTTTCTGAATTATATGATATCGTCTAGAAAATGGCAAATGAGATGAATCAAGCGAAACAAAATGATATTTAAATGTCGTAGTGATAAATGACTTCTATTAGAATGATGCATATAAAATGTCGTTTTTCTTTCTTGAAGTTTAAATTTACGGTCGAAAATCATTTATGAAGTTATAACTTATTAACGACTAAATTAAATTGAAAAATCGTATGTGAATAGGAATTATAGTGACTCGCTCTACTTTCTGTACTATGTATTCACGCATACTACAAGATTCTTCTAGCAGATACAGAGCAGACTATAAAGAGCAGATATAGAGTTTTTAGAAATATTACTTCAACAGTTATTAATGCGTTATAATAGTTAATTCGATACAATCAATTTATACTTAAAATACAATTATATGAAAGCGAATAAAAATAAATTGGATAATACAACGAATGATGCGCTGAAAGCAATAGCGAAGGATTTATAGTTTCTAGGAATCATAATCCTTAATACATCTGGGATAATGAAAAATTGTCTGAATCGAATACACGATATTCTTCAGAAGTCACATTTTTTGCAGTATCTTGAAGTATGCGTTTCATATCCATCAATTTCAATTAAAGTAATATAATGGAATAATGAACATTAAAAACTACGAGAACGTGTGCAGAAAGCGAGCAAGCGTTTACACGTGTATCCAGTTTAGAAACTTATCGAATTCGTTTGTCCGGCAGGACACGGCGTGATTGGCCGGGATAAAACTATCGTCGTAGAAAGGTAGCAGAAGTGAGAGAAGCAGTACCGCGCCTTAATGGAAACGAATTAACGATCCGTGGAAACGTAAAACGCAGTCACGTACTCGTGGGTAACGATCGTCGAGCGACTAATCAATGGTCATTATTTATGGTTATGGGCATAGCTCGGCGGCGCTGGCCACTTTTCGTACGATTCCGCGGGTCCCGGGCACCCGGGGACACCTTAACGAGTGGCCTGGAAAAATGTGAGCGGCCGACCGGTGTCGCACTCCGCCACCGGAATGAAATCAGCGTTGATTCGCCCGATCTATGCTCTGCGTCTGTCCCGCGATTCGCCGTCCCACGTTCTCCGTCCCACGGTCAATTCGTGCAGCGTGCGATTCGCTCGATCGCGTTATTATCGTCATTCGCCTGTGGTTTCGGAACGCGACGACTTTTTCTCGGGTGATCTCGGCACGATTGATGCGGTCGAGTCGAAGAAAAAGGGACACCGGACTTCTTTTCACACGCCGCGAACTTTGATTTATCATTCCGTCCGTTCTTTGTAAGCAACTTGACTTTTTAGTTGCTAATCGATCGTTCTTTGACTGTGCTTCTTTTTTCTGTCTCTCCCGCTATTCGCCACCGAATGGAGCGTTTAATAGAGAGCGCGATCGAAAGCCGTGGAATTCGATTCGTCTCGTTTCCAATTGACGCGAACGAACGGAAGGAATCGAAGCGGATTGGCGAACGATCGTAAATCATTATCATCGTTCCATTAATTGACGTCACAGGTGATAAGAGGGACGTGATAAAAACCCTGCATTCCTTTCCCTCGCGTTTCAACCCGCGGCAAGCGAAACGACGCGGGCACGCGAATAATGGATAATTGATTATTATTAATGAAATGGCTGCCAACGATCATACTTTTTTAACCGGTGTTTTTTCTTTTTTTGTTCTCAGGACGAAGTAAGTAACGAGCCACGACAGTTAGAGGCTGAGTGCTATAGGACGATTATCACGTGAAAACCGCATCGGACAAACGTGAGCTTATTTGATGCAAGTTTGTACCACTAACTTGCGTGATCTTATTTCAACTTATTACATTTTTAATTAAATAAATACAAAATTGTTTATGTTCGAGATCCATTTTGCATTACACGTATTTTTACGTGAATTTTTCATCCTGTTTGACAAGAGTAATTTGACAGTACCAATTAATTAAGTGATTCCAAAATAAGCAAGGTTTCAGTTTGAAAATTAGACAGCCTCTGTTATTAGATGATTATGATACAAACGATGGCGACGAAGAAGTCTTAATTCGTCGAATGACGTTTCACTCGTTAGCCGACTCGCGTTTCCCGTTCGTCTCTGCGAGAGGCCGCCGCGAAACGTGAAAACTAACGAGCAACGACGTAAATTTTCTATTGAATGTGGGTTACAAGTCTGCCTCTGTCTGCGTTACTACACACGGGTTGTACGATAGCAAGGATTCCCTTGTCCTGGATAACGAGGACCGATCCGATGCCGCTTGCCTTAAAACTGTCATCGGCGACGGATCGAAGCCGCTCGTAATTCTCGGGAATCGAGAATAACCGCGACGGAGAAGGCCGCTACTCCATCGGCCGTGTCGACACGCTTAGCCTCGTTTGTCCCGAGTAATGGCTGTAGTCATAACTCAACTCAGTCAGTACAGTCGACGGTCGAAGATCGCGAAGACGAGGGACCGATCGACTCGAGTCGTTTCTGCTTGCACGCGACCAAGCAACCAGAGTCTTCTCAAACGTTCGCGTAACAGACCAGTTTACAGTCAATGAGAAGAGTTATTTCTAGTTTTTCATCGTCAAATAAGTTGAAGACAAGGAAAAATTCATACTGCGGTTGATTCAATCCACTCCTGACTTTATATCTATCATTAAGTTAAACGATAGGTACCGCTTTCTAAAAACCTTGCAAAAACTCTAATTCAATAAACATTTGACCAGAAACTTACACAGTATGTTCAGATTTATAGACGGAACTGTATGTTGAAACATAAATTCACCGCCTTTTTACGCCGTAGGAGTGTCTCCGGTTTCTTGCACCTTGGGCAATGTTTCAATCCTATTCCTCTTTTTTTTTTGAGCTACCAGCAGATCCGAAGAAATAACTACCACATCGAACGATAACGTTTGAACGACATTCTACATTCTTCTTGAATACCAGTAATGGAACCTTCTTAGAACGCTGCGATATTCTGAGATATTCCCAACACTTTCTACGCGATAGTTCCGTCTCCGAGAAACGCGACACGAGAATGTCCACTGAATAGTTACCGTTCTCGAAATCGCGTCACTCCGCACGCTTGTAAACGCGGAAGAATCATTGAATTACACAAAACGAATTGCTCTCTCCGAACTCCTATCCGATCCAATTTATCCCGGCCGGCGAAAAACGATATTTATAGCGACGGCTACCGCTATCTGCTCGATAATTCGCTTCTTTGCACGCACGTGTGTGTATGTAGACCTGTCCGTCAGATTTCCCAGGTAAACCACCGACGGACATTTCCCGTTCGTGGAATTCTCGCGAAGCGCTCCCGCAGTGATCGTCTGCGCGTGTTTCCTTCGACGCGGGAGACCAATCAGGCCAATATTTTAATAGAAACCGAGCTCTTATGTACCATCTGCTCAAACGAGTTTACGTGGCTAATCATCAGAAATTATTCAAACTATACATGCTCTGTTTTAACGACTTAACAACGCAACGCGCACCCTTCCTTAGCGTGACGTATACGGATAGGGATCAACCTCTCCTGTTTCACTTATTTTTTTATATGTTGAAGGAGACGTGTTTCTAAATTATTTTTCATTTGCAAAAATCGATTTTCGATAAAACCACATCGCCTTTATTTATTATTATCGATCATTGGCAATAGATTTGTTGAGATTGTTATAGACTGATAATTAGTAAAAATGTTTAGATATCGTATTTCCCAAATAATTTCTTACACAAACGAAACTAAGTTCTTTTCCAATCCCATCATCAGGACGAACCGTCGAACTCCCAGACACCTGCAGATTTGCAAAAATAAATGACTCTTTTTTAGACCGTCTGTCGACAGAGTTTAGGTATGATCGAGCACCTGTTCTACTTCAACGCTGGTACCAGGTCTCGAGTATCGTTTAATGAATTCTCAGCATCCTTCGCTACGTCCCGCAGTGGTTTCGTACCATATCCATCGACGCTGGCACAGACATAATTAAAAGGAACGTGACGCGCAAGTTTAGTGGCGCTTTAAGACCGAGCCCTGAGATCGTTACACGTACTATCGCGCGTGATTCATAGTGTACGGCTCACTTCGCGTGGCCGATCGTTCTCTGGATCGGCGATCGTGCCGGTCGAGCCGTGTTCAAACGCTGGTAATTATTGGAACTTGAGTTTATGAGGCTAACACCGGCGGAATTCTAAATTCAGCGAACTTTTTCTTTCCAGAGATGACGAAACGCGAAAAATTGGTTCTTTGGATGAAATATAGAGGGATTTAGATATCGGTTAGGCTCGCGTGAGACGCTGGAGCGCTTTCCATTCACCTTGGCTAAAGAAAAAACATCCCGAGACACAACTGTCCTCAACGGTTTCACGCCGTTCTCCGCGGGGTTTTGCAAGAACGATCGGCAAATTTATGAGGACTTGATCCCGGCGTTCCTCTTACGCTCGCTTCAAGGAATCCGCTGTGAAATGATCTCCTTCCTTGGAACGATCTACTCTGTCGAACGTTTAATTGTGGGACGTGATCCCGTCATAGACGTAAAACAATTTTCCCGATACCTACGCCCTATTATGTCACAGCGTCGAGAAATACCGGGGTACGGCAGGAAAGGAGCGACGGTGCACTTTCCAAATTTGCCAATGCGTCAGAATTGTCAACCTTCTTTATCGTTCTCAGAATGCATAGGTTGAGGTGGAAACGTTAGGATACCTGTACTGGGCTCGTGATAGGGAAATCAATGATTACGTGACTGAATTCTTATTCTCTCTATTCAAAGAAAATTGATTTTTCTAAATTTATCGAAATCTTTTATCTAATTATTCAAAACATACGTACAAACGAAGATCTTAATTTAGTGTAATTTTCTCACAATGTATAATTTAATTTGTAAACGAAATTTTTGGTAAAATACTTTTTTTACATAATTTGAGTATAGATCAAGTCGGATAGATCACGTAACAAATTCATTGAAGTGAATTTTATTCACAAGAAACCAGCACCGATTTTCCAAGCTATGTTACTCGTTCTGTCTTTCTCCTTCTTTTTCCACCAATCCTTCGGAATCTCGCGACAATCCAACGATTGCCAGCAAGCCAATTCGAAGCATAGCTTAGGCCAGGCCCCTCTCGTCTCTCGACTGGCTCGCCGTCGATACTAGTGCAATTAAAAGCAACGTGACCAGCGAGCCAAGTAACGAAACTGTAAGAAAACGATCCCCATCGGTTTCTACGATTCGTTACGCAAAGACTGAAATGTTCGTTCGTTAGAAAAGGTTTCTACGAAAGGTGGAGGTGAGAAACAGAACGATATTGTTGGTCATAGATAGGAGACAACGAAACGCGGCGAAACGATTCGTCCTTCGACGAACGAGACGCCATCGGATGACGAGACAACGATGAGGTGGTTTAATTGTTCCCGATCCGACGAGTTTTTCCATCAGTTGAATTACATACGTCGACGAAATTCTCTAGAAGAAACACCTAGCGTCTTGTAAAAAACCGAGCATCCGCTATTGTTCTTTTCCCATCTCGTGAAGTGTTTAAACATACTTCTAATTATCTCTCTCGCGTTCCTTTTCAACATCATCGACGCTACTGACTTTAAAACCCATTTTTCTATTTGTACTTCGATAAGTTCAAGTAAAAATTAATATTATCGCGTTGGGCCGGCTGGGTATACAGTTTTAACTAAGAGCGTAGACGACAGGTGACGAGAGCTGACAATGACTCGCGGCGTTAATCAAGGGCGGCGCGCTGAAGAGGAACTGTAGCTGACGTCTAACTCAAGGATAGGCAGAGAGGAAATTAGTGTTCGTTCGCGGCACGGCCGCACGTCCTACGGTATGCGAGGTACTTTCGGGGGTGTACTCGCTCTCTCGAGGGCGTCTTAGCGTTATTGGTTTTACCCCTCGAGACGGCCCACGGTCGGCACCGAGACGGGGGTGCTCCTTAAATGGAAACCGTGAAACGGGTACTAGAGAGAGAGAGAGGGGCGAGGGGGTTGGGAGGTAACAGGACGGGGTGAGCGAGAAGTGGGTTTCTGAATGCCTCTTTCCTGCCACCGACAACGAGACTACTTCGCTTAAGTAATTAGACTGCCGACCGTTCGTTGCCTCAGTCATCTCCTAGCAGAACGAGAAACTGCCTGTCGCTTTCCCGATCGTTCCTCCCAAATGTTCCAGCCATTTTTCTGTTTTGCAGATGCATCATTAGAAAGTTACTTAATTAGTAGACTCTTATCCAAAATAGACGTGTCTTAAACAGGAATATTTTGTATAATTTAAACATCGCAATATGCAATTGACTTTTTATGTTCCATGTCATCTTATAGATGCATAAAATCTACTAACTGTATACATAGTTTATATTCGCGCAAACTGTCATCTAACTTGGACAAAATATAAGAAGGATTCACTTCCTCCGGCAACGTCGATCAATCTGTTCTTCAAATCATTCCTCCTAAAGACAGGAATCGTAAATCATCGAAAAATTGGCCTTACGTAATGCTGGACGACGCTTCTCCGCGACCACGGAAGACATTGATTCAACAACTTTACGCGCCGATAAATCTGTGAAATTAACGAAGCCCACCGCGCCGCGCTCGCGGTGAGAAACTTTACGATAAGTTTTATTGTCTAGTCGTAGTACATTTCGCTCGAACTATTCCTCTATAACAAGGCAGCTTCCTCAGGACGAAATAAACGTCCGCTTGCAAGGAGAGGAATACGTAGTAATTGCTCCACGAGTCCTTACTTACCGCGAATCCTCCTTCGAGCGTTTATCGTCGTCCGAAGCTGCGAGAAGTCCTTCACCATTGGTCACGGAGAGTTAAGAGTAGCAAGTTAATCGTAAATCAAACGCGTTATTGTTGTTGAGCCCCAACTGCGCGAGCGATAAACGGTTCGCGTAGGAGATAACTAATTATTTTTTCAGTTAGCTAATTGTTAGTCGTGTTTGAAAATTAACGCGTAAGAGGAGACGATTTCTTTTTCAATTAATAAATGATTTCTTGATTATTGTTGATCATTTGGTTGTTTAAACAGCTTTAAATAGAATAAGAATTAAGTAGGATCTTACTTTTGAATATTTAATAATACATTTTAAGTATTGAAATTCGAGTTTAAATGGGTTTAGATAATTTGAATCCAATTTAGAAGACAAGTTTGAAGACAAGTATATTTCTAGTTATTAAAAATAAGAGACAGAACGTACAAATATCTAAATGAACTCGACTAGCGTAACGAAGGATTGAATTCTGAAATCGGTCAATTCTAACTTCGATTCTTTGGAGACTTTGACAGATATCAGCTGACAATAGGATCCTACCGTGTTGCAGGTCCACGAACGAGGAGGGTGAAGAAGGCGGAGGGTCGCATCCCCGAGGAGAAGCGCCCGCGGACCGCGTTCAGTGGCGAACAATTGGCCAGGCTGAAGCGTGAGTTCGCGGAGAATCGATACCTGACCGAGCGAAGGAGGCAGCAGCTCTCGAGGGATCTCGGCCTGAACGAAGCGCAGATCAAAATCTGGTTCCAGAATAAGAGGGCGAAGATCAAGAAGGCGAGCGGACAGAAGAATCCGCTCGCGCTTCAGCTGATGGCCCAGGGTCTCTACAATCACTCGACGGTGCCGTTGACGAAGGAGGAAGAGGAACAGGCGGCGGAGTTACAAGCGAAATGACGACAATAGGACCGAGCTAATAGTCGAGTCTAGATTTATTGGCGAGCTCGTTTCGTTCACGAGATCTCGCAACGGAAGAAGGGACTCTGGTTTTTATTGTTGAATGTCGATTGGATCGTAGAAGAGGAAAACCTGTCTGGATAGGATGACTGATCTGCTAATGCATAACTATACATATTGTGTGGCGGAATGGAGACGTAAGTGGAATGTGTGTTAGTATGTACTTAGATAATTTAATTGTTCCTCCTGCAAATTTTTGCGAGAGATCCGCGCGGCGATTTGTGTTCCAAAGATTGTAAATTATCGTTTCGAATTTAAATTATCTCTTGGAATCTCCTATGAAATGAACCGAAACTCGAAACTGGTCGGGTTTCTTAGTCGTTCGTTTTCCATGTAAAAGACTGGGATTATTTATTTCGTGAAAAAAGATTTAGTGCCACCGATCAGATTTCGATTGAACGTATGAAATTTCGTCGACGATTTGTTGTTTAATAGAGCTTCCCATTTGAACTCGAGACGCGTCGCGTCGTAAGGAATTCGCGAGAGGAAAGTTCATGAGTTACCGGCTTTAAGAATCGAATGATGGCGGTCTTAGCTCGCGCGATCGCCGGGACGACTATCATTCAATTCTATATCGTTTGCGAGGGTGGATTTAGCACGAACGTTCCTGTGCCGCGAGTAAAATTCATTGTCGTGACCGGAGGAAAAAGTAAATGGTATCTCATCGATTGAGCAGGTCAGTGAAATGGGTTGTACAGTGCCATTTGTACAGTTATTTCTCGCGAAAAAGTAGACCGAAAAGGAATAAAACAATGCAGTCGTTCTCTGTAAAAGGAAGTTCTCAGTAGTCGAGATAGAGAGTGTGCGCGGGAGAGAAAGGAAGTGAGAATGAAAAGTTGAATCGTTCTGTTCCATTAATTTATTGTAAAAATGTAAGATATCGTAAAATTGCGATGTGCAATAGAGAACGTTATACATATATGTACGAAGAGAAAAAAAACGCCTATGTATAGGTAAATATTATATATATAAAAAGAGGATTGATAAATCGTCGTGTAAATACAACTTAGCGAGAGAACGTCGTGTTGTCTCGATAGACTGTTTAAAAGTAACTTAGTTATTTATTTACCTAATGCTAACGCTCGACGCAATGTCGGGCGACGTATACCTTGTAAGAATTATTTAAAGATCGAATTAAATATTCCCACTATCACGAGTCACGTATGGACATTAATGCTTGTTCACCCTGTTCAACATCCATCCCACGTCCTCTTCATCTTCGGAAGATAAATCTTTCCCGTTTCTACAAAGACACCGCAATGCTGCTGTCTGATAAGCGGCCGATTAAATAATCACGTAGAACCGGGTAATTAACGGGAATCTAGCCGCGAGCGAGCTATAATTTTTGCTATGAAACCGGCAAGGTATCAAGCACGATGGCAATACGTATGTGTATCGTATACAGAAACTTGGAACACGATATTTGGTCATAGATACGGTGATGCTGGATGTCGGAATCCGTTAAGCGAGATAAAATCAAATCTGCTTTAAGCATCTCTAATTCCTCCGCGATTTCAGTTTAAGGAGTCATGCCAGTGTGAAATTTAAAAAAAAATCGAATTTCTTTTTGCATTCTTCGAAAGTTTATACTTTTAAAAATATACCTTACTTATAGCTCACAGTTTCTAGTAATCCACGAAAATCCATTAGACAGCATAGAAGCGGCTTTCACGGAACATTACAAGCCGATGAATCAGATACACTATTCGTGGAGAAAAAGTACAAACGCCACGAGCTAACTCGACGTATACAATCCGGCCGAAGGATCTGCTTGGAGAAACGAGAGACGAGGCGATCAGCGATCTCGAAACGTTAACGCGAATCGGTGTCGTGAAAGTGGTATTGGACGCGTGCTAATTAACACGGGGAAGGGAATCAATCGAGCCAGATGTTTATCGAAATCCATTCGGCGCTGGGTAACGCCGCGTTGCACCGCGCCGTACGAAGGCGAGAGAGAAAGATGAGGTGGCGGCGAGGGCGATCGGTGTCGGGATAAAAGGTTTCGGGGCGGGTCGATTCGCATTCAGCATTTGGCGCATGCTTCCACCCCCGAGCCGTATTTCAGGCCAGTGCAAACCCCGTGGAAAGCCCCTCCTGCCGCCGCCACCACCGAGTCGCTCGCCGCCGCGATATCGATTGATTTACAGTCGAAAGGTGGCCATCGTTGATATCAAACCAGCCACGCCTACGTTTATACTACGGGTACGCGATTGCACGTGCGTGTGTTGCACGGTAAGCGGTGTCGGTTAACGCACTTTATACATCATTTAACCTCCACCCGTGTTGTTTCAACGGCTCGAGCCTGCCACGTCTCTTCCACGAATCGATCGAGGACCAATGGCGAAATTCTTGTATCCCGTTTGTACGAGTAAGATTGGTCGTTACATAACCGAGTGATGTTCGTACAAATTTTTCTCGTCGGAAGCTAAAGAATCGCGGAGGAGTTCGATGAGCATCGATGAAACGTTAAACTCCTGTAGAAGTTAAACCAGTATCGTTAAAATTCGGAAGTGAGGAGATCGGAGATAGAGGATTCGTCGACGCCGGGGAATAAATAATTTCATCGGTCCCACCGTGTTTCCAGCGATCCCTCCGATTTTTCTTTTTTTTTTCGACAACGGAGCAGTCGTTGTCAGGGATCATCAAGGATCCATCCGAGGGTTCCGGTTCGCCTTCGAGAACGTACCTGGTAAGTAATAGGCTGCATTAACGTACAAGCCACGCCGGGGGAAAAAACTTCGCGATGAATAATCAGCAGTGATTATTTTTTACAAGACTTCTGTTCGGGGATGCTCGGAAGTTGGTATCCGATGGGTCTCATAATATTTCTTCGCCTGGGTAAAAACAAAATTTGATGGTCGTTCAAATGGGCAGTCGTTCCTCGTGACGTCCGTTTTCTCTTATTATTTTTATGAAATCCGTAAAACTTGTACATCACTACTTTCTGAACACGCTTTATCCGAATCATTCTTCCTCTCATTTCAAAGTCCAATGTTAACGGCATAGAAACGACTCGTGTTGATATCTGGCGTTAATGCGATTCGTAGCTGAAAACTCATGGAAATGTCCGATCCTCATCGCCTGGCAATGTCCCGGCTGAAAGTACGCCGTCGATTGCACGTGATCAGGTACGTACACACGGTACGTACATGCAAGGAGCCGATACGTCCCTGTCAGATTAGAATCGCGCCACTTGACAGACTCGCGCTTCTGTCTGTCCGTCCGAGGCTACCTCGGGTCAAGCTCGACGCAGATCCATAAAGACGATTCTCCGTGGCTCCTTTGTCCGGAATCTTTACAAATGAGATACAACCAAGGAGAGAAGTCTAAGGCACGTGAGTAGGCAGCAGGCATTAACCCTGTGACCGACCCGTTCGACATTCCTGGGCAACCGTGCGTCTTCTGTGACGCGGTTGGACCCGAACAGTCCTGGCTGCTTCTCCATTAGAATTATGCGTTCGTGATTCATTCCACACGTTGACACGCCGCTAGCCGATGAAACGAAAATCCGGGACAGATATCGCCTCTAGATACCGGTTTCCACCGATTGAAACGTCGATGATGTGCACTAATAAATGGATGCGGGTCGAATAATCTGTGGGGCAGGATTGAGAAACGAGTTTCCGATTCTCCCCTGGATGCATTCGCGTCCATTTTATGCATGCGACACGCCGCGTATTATCGTTTCGATAAGCATCGAAATTTGTTTTTCGACATCACTGGTCAGCTCGGTTCTCGTCAGCCTCTGTTTACGCGCGAGGTCAGCTCTCCGGAAACGAGCCGGTATCGATTTATCTCGCGCTATAAATCGCTCGCGCGGTTCTCTACTGGACTCAATAAAGCAACGCGGAAGGGATATATTGAGTCCGCTAATCAGCCGTAAATAACGTCGTAGAATTCTCTGTTCGCGCAGTTAAAACACCAGATAAGAAGCCGCGGGAGATGAAAAAAGAAGTGAAAATAGTTTATAGATAAGGGGACGCGCGCTATCAATCGACGTTACACTTACCGTGCTTGCATACCTCTCGTCGCGTTCTTCGCGTACCATCGATATATCCGCTAGCTGGCTGACTGGCTCGCAGCTTTCGTGCAATCCTATCATGGTTGCACGATCCTTCACGTTACACCTTGTTTTCCGTTTTCCTTTTCTATGCACGTTCATCCATTTGTTTTCCATTAGGTATACAAAAGTCTTTATCTGATTCCAATTAAATAAATACAAAAGAAAAATGATAAAGATACATTTTACTATTTGGCTGGTCGACTTTGTTTTCTACATTTTCAATTTTTCTGGATGTTTTTCTAATCATATTCGAAGGCAGCCTCCCGGTAGGGTCCAGTACGCGGGGTTAAGAAGGGGATTATAATTCGTAGCGCTGTCAGAGATCGGTGGACCGAGAGCTTCAAGGATGATCGTCGTTAGTGAACGGGGCATTAGTCGTACGGTAGCCGATGCCGATGAATACGGCGTCCGGAGCGTCAGTGGGGAGCCAACGGAGGAAAGCAGCAGCAACAGCGTCGGGAGAGATCTGATGGTGACGGGTATTAAAATTAATGGTCAGCCGTGTACGCTGACGTGTCACCTTATACCTCCATGCGTCATTTTGATTGACCAATAAATTATCTCTGTGGAAGGTCTCGCGCGCGTGCTTGGCCATCGGTGTTCTCGCGGTTCTTTGCTCGTTCGGGTAAAAGTCTGACCCGTTGTGCAATTTGTTCTCGCTCGCTTCACGCGGTGAAACGAAGGCATAACCACGAACGAGCTCCGCGAGGATTCGATAAGAATCTTCATAGAAAAAGCACGGAAGTATGTGTTCTTAACACAAGGGACATAAACTAGGCAATTCTTATTTTACATACATGCCAAGATCCGAGGAAGGGTTTCCAGATCGCCCGAAGTCTCGAAATCGACCGGAAGGGTTGGTCATGACCCCCCCCTATGCACCTGGATACCGTACGTCGTAAATTGCACGCTATAACCCAAAGCGAGCACTTTGAATACCAAATCCGAGCATTATAACTGAGAGGATCGTGTAGATTCGGCGATAATCGTGTGGCAACCGTTCGTACCCGCCGCCGCACCGCTCTTCTGCTCAGCGAAATCGGTAGACGGCGTAGCGTTTCTCTGCGACTGCGGAGCGGTAAGTATAACGAACCCTCCGCGTTCGCAGATTTCCTCGAAACGGCTTGAAGCAAGCTTTAATGGCTCAATCCGCATGTTCCGGCAACTCGATGTGTGGGCCCACCGGGTCGATAGTTCCCCCTGAAATTTTCTTCTGACTCCCGGTCCCCATGGAAGGCGCGTTACCGGCCACCGATGGGACAAAACTCGGGCACGCTGCCTTGTTTTTAGTCGCAGCACAGGCCAAATGACCAGGACGCGGCACTCTCATGCATGAATGCAACGTCAGCTGCCATCCCGGGATATAGCGAACTCTTCATTAACCGTGCAAAGGAAGATCGTTGAAGACCCTGGTCCTCATCCTTAACGCGCATCCGTCGGCGATAAATCTGAATATTAATTGACACGCGGTAACACACGGATGTGACCAAGGCAAACGATGATTGTCTTCTTTATAGGTCTGTTGGCTTCGTTTTTATTGCTCTTGCAATTCAGTCCTAACTGGCAGAGTAATAAAATTGTAAAAACCAACTGTCATCTGGTCAGCGCCGGAATTTGGAAATAATTGTCACGGACTATAAAATTGATTTAATGATTTCTCAGAAGTTTGTACAAAGAAAATATCTAAGGATTTCTTTTCTAAGACATCGAGTCCAATTTATTCTTGGTGTGAATACAGAGAACGATGCTGGTAAGACGATCCACGAAGTGTCGATGATCCGATCCCTAATTCGGTGACTTTAACGAAAATTAAGTGAGATAGGTCCGGGCGGAGCAATGCTTTTTGACAGCCTCGTACTCACCTCTAGGGAATCATAAGGATCGTCCGACCGGTATTTAGTTTCCTAGTGTCATGTTCACCTTTACGCGTCCGCGCCTCCGGACAAGTACGATCTCCAAACACGTCTGACTGTGGGACACTCCTCGGGCGTCACAGCTCTATTCGGTGATCGGAACCAGTTCCAAGATCTAAATGAGAGTTCTAAGGGACGAGAA